ATTGAATGATGGTAAGCTCACTAAAGTTACTTACCACTTGCATTGAATAATGACAGTCAGCTCACTAAAGTTACTTACCACTTGCATTGAATAATGACAGTCAGCTCACTAAACTTACTTACCACTTGCATTGAATGGCAGTCAGCTCACTAAACTTACTAACCACTTGCATTGAATAATGACAGTCAGCTCACTAAACTTACTAACCACTTGCATTGAATGGCAGTCAGCTCACTAAACTTACTAACCACTTGCATTGAATGGCAGTCAGCTCACTAAACTTACTAACCACTTGCATTGAATGACAGTCAGCTCACTAAACTTTCTAACCACTTGCATTGAATGACAGTCAGCTCACTAAACTTACTAATCACTTGCATTGAATGACAGTCAGCTCACTAAACTTACTACTCACTAGTCCAACAGTATGCTTGTGTCTCATACAATTAAAAAAGGTCAATATTATGCATTAGTTGAAAAATAATAACTTCCGAATCAGAGTAAGCTATGTACTTAGAGCAAAACTCAAAATCAACCTGGCCATCAGTATAGCTAATTAAACATCTTTTTCTTACACTTCTGGTTATAAAGATTAGTGCACTGTTTTATTAGTTGAGTACTCTTGTTTTAACAATATTTTCAACCTTAAAACTGATAATATCTCGTGAGATTTGGTCAGTTTAGGAGATTTAGGTTTGTTCTAAATATAAATACTATCAATCTTTATAATAAAAGTATAATAATAAATGACAAATTAACATAAAATAAAAGTAATTACATTTGATACAGTAATTAAAACAACCATTAATATTAATGAAAAGAACAATAAATAAAGTAGCACGTTACTTAGGAACCAACAAACACTAGTTTCTGGTTTGAACCATTGTCATTGATGTATATTTCTTTAGATATTTGTTCTCTGTCAAACTCCCCACCTTAACAAAGAAACTCAGTACAGCACCCCTACTATATAATGTCCTAACTGTGATGATTAATGCCATATGTTTCAGTTAAAAGCAGTCAGGTCCCACACATCAACTTTCCCATGACACAAAAACCAATGTTTATAAAGACATAAAACAAATACAAAATAACTGATCTGACCTTTATAACATAACAATATTATATGTAATAAAAAGAAAACAACTAACTAAACTTAATATTTGATTTGTCTAAACACTTTTACTACTAGTCTTTAGATATCCTTCTTTGCTGTCACTCATGGGCTCTTTGAATTACTTAACCATACCCTGTACCAAACACTTACAATCAGCTGCAGGAATTAATAAATAACATTCAGTCTTCTCTAGAAGCTGAAAAGTAAACATGACAAGCCACTAGAAAGGTGAAAGTTCTGTAAAAATAACACATTGTATGTACAAATAAACAAGGAGTAATATGACAAAGAAAGTAAATATAAAACTAATCTAACTGGTGATGCAATGTAAAATTTTAGCTAATATAAATTATATACAATAATAACAAACTCGAAACAACATCCCAAGGAATCAAAGTGTACACACAGAAGCTTACGTGAGGTTGTGATACTGTGTGAAGCTTCTTAGCCCAGTTTTTAGCAAGATTATTGAACTATTCATATAATTGAATGAATATTATGTTCAATTTTTGCAGTGTGAAACTTCAATGTGAAAAATAAGAGCAAGTTTATGACCTCTTTTCATAAAATCTTGTAATCAGGCTCTTACTCATTGTTTGAAATGAGCATTCTAATTTGTGAGGTCAAAACTTATTGTGTGAAGCAAAATTAGCATCCAACGTATGCTAATGCTACAGCGGGTCTGGGGGCATGTGACTATTTCTAGCCAAGAAATGCTAATGCTTCATCTGAAGAATATAGACTATGTCGAAAACAATAAATATCATTAGCGGTTGTTGCTGTAACTCAATTAGCAAAATTTTTTTACATAACAAAACTAGGGGTTTGGCTGAACCCCCTTGAATCCCCCTGTATACGTGTGTGGTAATGATGAACAAATTATTTTGTACTTAATTGTAACATAACGAGTTTGGAATATACATATTTGAAAAAATAAAGTTTATAACTTTAAACTTTAGTGTCCATTCTATTGTAAACTTCAAAGTTGAATGTATGATTAATGATGTTGATATCTAAATCTAGGTACTTTGCTTTATTTGTAGTTAGTTTTTTTTCTAGATTGAGCCTTGGAAGATAAATTTATAAGGCTGTGTTCAAGAAACCTTAATATTTTCATATTAGAAATTCATCAATACATCTGCAAACACAACTGATGTGCAAAGCTTTACTGTAGTCTATCCTATTAAGGTTTGAAATGTAAGAAATCTCAAGTTCAAATAAATACAGATCTGCAACTTTCAGGTTAAAGTTACCTTCCAGTGGAACTCCCTGCGTCTACTTGAAGACATGTTGGCCAAATTTAACAAACGTATTAACAAGTACAAAATTCATGGTCTGTAAGAATTTATTGAATATTTAACAGTGGTAATTTTTGCGAGTGACACTGTTATAAAGAGTTCTGTTTCCTGATTCAAGACGTAATTTACCCAAATATTTAAATTACCTTGAAATTGTTGACGAAAAACTTTAATTTTACCAGTAGGAAGATTAGTGTAAAGATTACTGAAATCAAATGTTTCTACTGTTACAGCTTCAAAGCCTTTAGTCTTTAATGATAAAGACTTACTAATTAGTAGTCCAACAGTATGCTTGATGTATAATAAAGGTTAATATTTTTTGGTGCTACTATACCGTGCGGCCTATACAAATACCATCATCATCAAGGTTTTAACTTTTGTTTATTTGCAATTGGCACTATTTATTATAAATAATGCTTTTAAACTGATAAAGTACAAAATACCATTATTTGCTGAACAAAAACGTGCATAGATATAAATTATTTAGCAAGAAATTATGTTTTAGTGAATCATTAAAATGGTAATGATGATAGTATCTGTGTAGATCTCACGCTATAGTGTACATATCTTTGTAGAGTGCATGCTATAGTAGCACCTACTTTTCATCGTAAAGGCTTCAATGAGGTCGTAATGGTTACAACAGGCCTGAGACTGATTATCCCAATATAGTGCTTATGAGCTTGAAGAACAGAAGCTGTAGATTAGCTTTTTCTGAAGTTATTCACGTCAAGTATCGGCAAAATATTTTGAGCTGGATACTAGAATAAACACAGAACACACCTTAGAAGCTTAGATATATGCATATTCTTTTACTGTTGACATATTCCATTCTGTCAATGATGAAATGATGGGTGCGTATACTTGAACTGGAATATCTTCATAGTTTTATTGACATAATTCATGAGCAGGAAGTTTCATTTTCATGTTTGAGGTGAACATTTTGAGAATTAGATTGGATATTGTGATAAGCTATAGGGCTTTCTGTCACCTGGTTACTCTTAAACATACAAATAAAACTGCCCAGAAAATTATTTTGGAATAATAAAGTTTATCACACTTTATAAAAGTGAAATTCCATGTTGTCCTTAGAACAACTTCTTTATAATCAATCATGTTCAGTCTGACCACCATGATTATACATTGCCCAACACTACAATTTATACTGTAACAAGCTCCTGTTACAGACCCTCCACTGCAGACTGATGTTAAGCTTCCAAAACATACAATTTATACTGTAACAAGCTCCTGTTACAGACCCTCCACTGCAGACTGATGTTAAGCTTCCAAAACATACAATTTATACTGTAACAAGCTCCTGTTACAGACCCTCCACTGCAGACTGACGTTAGCTTCCAAAACATACAATTTATACTGTAACAAGCTCCTGTTACAGACCCTCCACTGTACACTGATGTTAGCTTCCAAAACATACAATTTATACTGTAACAAGCTCCTGTTACAGACCCTCCACTGCACACTAACATTAGCTTCCAAAACATTTATGTAGGCCAACAGTACAAAAGTTCATTATTACATGGATAACAAATAATACAATTATAGCCTGACAAAACTTGAAATGCAGTAAAACTGGTTGAAATCACTAAACCACTGAATTTAATGCTACCATAATGAGAGAGAGAGAGAAAACAAGTACAAATCTCTTATTAGGATCTACAGTGGTATTGACTATTTAGTTTCAAGTGAGCTCTTAGACTTACAGCCACATGTAAAGGAGGAAAATCAGGAGTTTAATTGTCATAATAAATGTTTTTCCATAGGAAAAACCAGCAGGAGAAAATGATTTTGAAATTCACCATATGTCAATCAACTGATTTCAAGCATGCTTCTTTTACAGCATCAGCAGACCATTTGTGTAATAATAATATATTTTATCATTGAACACACCCTTGAATAAAAAGTATTAATTTTGCCTTCTTTATATAAAACCAATATATCACACTCGATTATAAAATATACCCTGTGCTATAATCATTATGTTTCATATTCATATTGTATTCCAATCAAGCACCTTACAATTAAAACAAGCGTGGTCAAAATTAATTATACAGCAAAGTAACTGCAGTAACTTCACAACTTTATAGGACTTTAATAGTCTGTTTAATGTTATATATTACTTTTACTAGTTATTAGTATTACTATTACCAAAGTTAGTCAATATATGAGTATATATTTTCAATTTAAAATTAAATGTAGTATCTTATTCTTAGTTAAAAACGTATAAATTATAACGCTTAATCTTATGTAACTTGTACCTGTATTAATTACTAATAGTAATAGCAATACCAGTATTACGCAATTCGCAATTTCAAGAGATAAGATTAAAAATAAAATTCAGTAAGTATCTTAAGACTGAGTAATAGTAAAACTAAAAGTAAAGAAAACAGTAAGACTTAGTTAGTAACACTATTACTAATAGTAATACTATAATTTATAATACTAATAGTAATATTAAAGACTTATCAAGTTGTAATACAACTTACCCGTTCAAGCCTCTGAAAATAGCCTCTCAAAAATGATACAGGATTCTCCGGACGACTAACGCAAAGTTGAACAATACAGTCCTTAAGAAGTTGTTGAATATTATTTTTTTGAACATATACTTCGCAATCCCTCAGCGTCTGTTCTTCTTCGGTGTTGGTCGCCATTTTTTACAGGTACACATAGGGTACTGTCTAAACAGTATGACGAAATGAATTTATTTACGAATCATTTTCCTGCTTCCATGTGACTGCTGCCATCTAGTAGTCATACTAAAAGCTTCGAAAACCAAGGTAGACACCTATATTCCCCACCACTGAACATGCTCGCCCTTTCAGCCGTGGGAGCGATATATAAAGTACTATCACTATAAATCCCACTATTCATTGGTTAAAAGTAGCCCAAGAACTGGCGGCAGGTGATATTGACTAGCTGCCTTCTCTCTAGTCTAACACCACTAAATTTGAGACGGCTAGCACAAATAGTCCTTGAGTAGTTTTGCGCGAAATTCAATAAACAAGACACCTATATTGTCCTCCCCATTTGTTAGTTAATTAGATTTAAAGCACAATGCGCTATCTGCGCTGTGCCCACCACGGGCATGAAATCTCATTTTATAGCGTTCTTAGTTTAGAAGCTTACTGCTGAGACACCAGTAAATAAATAAAAAGGTTATAATTCTTTAAGACCAAGTTTTACTGTTGCGCTGTTATTAGTAATAATCATACTCTCAATTGTCGAATAACCGAAGTCACTAGCCTACGTGGGTCTCGCTTAATAACAAACATCACTTTGTAAAGTTTTGAAAATTAGAATTTAAAACAGTTTATGAACACAAGTTTAGAAAAAAAGATATCTGTCATCGTCTTTAATTTTGAACTGTCGACCAAAGGAAAGGCAAACTGCTGGCAGTACCCACCATTAACTGTTGGAATACACTTTACCAAGAACTTCCCGATGGCTCTTCGGTAAATCTGGGGTTTAAAATATTAAAAAAACGGATTTCAATATCCGCATTGGTCAGAACACAAATTATCCATTGTGCAGATTTGTGATTAACAATAAACAAACAAAGCCCTTTACCAATAAATAGTTTGATTGACCGTCATATTGTTGCGTCAGCGAGGTCACGTGACTAGTATCACGCCACTCCTTCTCTCGAACCTTCGTGAATTGTCA